CGCTTGGATTACAGGTGTGAGCCACCGCGCCCGGCCCAAAACCCCGTCTTAAAAAAAAAAAAAAATTAACCAGGTGTTGTGGTGTGTACCTCCAATCCCAGCTACTTAGGAGGCTGAGACCAGAGGATTGCTTGAGTCTGAGAGTTGGAGGCTGCATTAAGCTGCGATCATGCTACTGCACCCATAAGAGCAGGAATTTTTTCTTTTCTCTTTAACTGAGATGAAATTCACGTTACATAAAGTGTACAATTCAGTGGCATTCAGAACATTCACAATATTGAATAGCCATCACCTCTATTTAGTTCCAATATGTTTACATCACCCCAAAGAAGAGCCCATACCCATGAAGCAGTTATTCCCCATTTTCCCCTCCACCTCCACTGGCAGCCAGCAATGTATTCTCTGTCTGTGAATTTGCCTATTGTGGGCATTTCATATGAACGAAATCACACAGTATGTGACCTTTGGTGTCTGCCTTCTTTCACTTAGCATTAAAGTTTTTGTTGTTCATCTGCATTGTGGCATGTATCAGCACTTCATTCTTTTTTCTTTTTTTTTGAGATGGAGTTTCGCTCTTGTTGCCCAGGCTGGAGTGCAATTGCACCATCTTGGCTCACCGCAACCTGCGCCTCCAGGTTCAAGCAATTCTCCTGCCTCAGCTTCCCGAGCAGCTGGGATTACAGGCATGCACCACCACGCTCGGCTAATTTTGTATTTTCAGTAGAGAGGGGGTTTCTCCGTGTTGGCCAGGCTGTTCTTGAACTCTCAACCTCAGGTGATCCACCTGGCTCGGCCTCCCAAAGTGCTGGGATTACAGGCGTCAGCCACTGTGCCTGGCCTCTTTTTCATGGATGAAGAATATTCCGTTGCACGAATAGACCACCTTATGTTCATTTATTTATTTATTTTTTGAAGTCTCACTCTATTGCCCAGGCTGAAGTATGATGGCACGATCTTGGTTCACTGCAACCTCCTCCTCCCCGGGTTCAAGTGATTCTCCTGCCTCAGCCTCGCAAGTAGCTGGGATTACAGTTGTGAGCCACCACGCCCAGCTAATTTTTGTATTTTTAGTAGTGATGAGCTTTTACCATGTTGGCCAGGTGGGTCTCCAACTCCTGACCTTACGATCCACCTGCCTGGACTGCCCAAAGTGCTGGGATTACAGGCTGAGCCACCGGGCCCCACCATTCATGCATTCTTTGATGAACATTTGGATTGATGGTGCCTCTTGGTGATTGCGAATATGATAGGGCTGCTTCTTCACTCTGTCGGCCCCAGTGCCTAGAACCATGCTAATCTGAAGAATGAAATGTGGGCCAGGTGTTATTCATTTCTGTCTTCCCCAGAACACAATGACACCAAAGGGTGAAGTGGGCAGGAAGTCAGCAGTCAGCAGTAAAACCCAATGTGAGGGATGAAGGGAGGAACGACCTGAATGGGGGAGAAGCGATTTTCTATGTTCTGTAGTTGTAAAAGTGAATTGTGATGGCTACAGAGACATATTTATATACCCAGATCTGAGGAAGGTTATTTGTCATGGGACCACAAAGGCAAAATAATGCATTGGGATGTTGGGAGATTCACAGCAAAACACAACTAGGCGGAGATGGCCGGGCGAGCACCAGGCAGAGAGGCATTGAAATCCAATTGCTTCCCTGAAAAGGACTTCATTAAACTGTCACGATTACTAGGAGCCTACTGCAAAAAAATAGAAAGGGCGAGGGGAGTAAATTCTCTTTGACTGTTGATGCAATTTGCAAGAAATTAAATTGCAATTAAGTTCGTTTACTTAGGAGGAGACAGAGTGTGAACACCCCCTGGGACTGCCTTTCAGCCTTTGGAAAATGAAACGGCTTTTTGCTCGGGATGGTTCCCTGGGGACCGCCCTGTTCCTTCGCGAGTTTGGCTACTTCGGTGCGCCCTCTGGTGGCCACGTATGGAAGCTCTGGCAATTGTGCTTTGTTCCCCATCAGAGAGAAGCGGGTGACCAGCCACACGAGGGTGGACCTGCAAATTAATTCACATTTAAACTGCAAAGCCTGACTCAACGTGTGCCACTTAGGGGTGCAGGAAGAGCTATACAGATGAAGTGACTTTAAAAATGAAATTATAACATTAATTATGATTATGATTTTATTTTATTGTTTTGAGACAGCGTTTCCCTGGAATACAGTGGCACGATCTTGGCTCACTACAACCTCCACCTCCCAGGTTCAAGTGATTCTCCTGCCTCAGCCTCCCTAGTAATTGGGACTACAGGTGCTCGCTACCATGCCCAGCTAATTTTTGAATTTTTAGTAGAGACGGTATTTCACTTTATTGGCCGGGACGGTCTCGATCTCTTGACCTCGTGATCCACCAACCTCGGCCTCCTAAAGTGTTGGGATTACAGGTGTGAGCCATGGCACCTGGCCTCTGGCCCCTAATTAAAAAAAAAATTCTCAGTAGAGATGAGATCTCACCATGTTGCCCAGATTGGTCTTGAGCTCTTGAGCTCAGGCAACCCACCCACCTCCACCTCTCAAAATGCTGGGATTATGGGTGTGAGCCACAGCACTCCACCATTAAGTAGTGTCTTTTCCAACACCACCCCTCCAATGCTGATAACAGCTTCCCAAAACAAGCTTTCTGAGTCAGATAAGGAAGTTTCAGAGAGATCTTCCTAATGCTTCAGAAAAGAGCATCAGAAAGATAGGGTTTAATACAATCCTTTTTCTTCTTCTTCTTCTTTTTTTTTTTTTTGAGACAGAGTCTATCTCTGTCACCCAGGCTGGATTGCCATGGCACTGTCTCAGCTCACTGCAACCTCTGCTTCCCGGGTTCAACGGATTTTCCGGCCTCTGCCTCCAGAGTAGCTGGGATTACAGGCACCCGCTACCACGCCCAGCTAATTTTTTTTTTTTTTTTTTTTTTTTTTTTTGAGGGTAAATTCAGCAATTTTAATATTTAAAATTGGGAGTTTATATATACTTATTTATACATGTGTTAAGATTCTCAAATCATAACTATAATATATATAAATACAAATGTAGACATATAGACATCTAGGTTACGAGGCTGAGCCATATGTTTTGTTAAATAGCAAAATCAAATTGAGCTTCAACTATTTAATTTTGAAAATTAGTGACATTAAATTGTTGGTTTAGTTGTTGCCTTTAAATTACCACTCAGTTATAGTGGAGAGAATCCAGCTCCAGCCTTTGTACAAGTTTAGGCGCTCACTGTTAACTTATATTTTTATGGCAAGAGATTAAAATTAATTTGCTGGTTTTGAATAAAATTTTGAACAGGTATTTGAAACTGGAAAATTCATTTCTTCACAAATGGTAGATGACAAATTGATGTTTCATAATGAATAGAAACCTTGAAATATTTTTAAACATGGTAGAATATCCAAGATTAGAATATAGCGATAATAAACTTATTTTATTTGCATTTTATACATCAAATATTATATCTTTGAGTCTGGCAAATTTCTGATTATCTATTTTTGAAAAATGATTAAATAAACACTTAATATTGAAGGCAGAGTCACATTTGTTCAGGTTCATGTTGATAATAACTGGTCTTGAATTCATGTAAGTATCTGGAATTGGCCAGCATAAGCCAAGATGATGGCGATGGACCTTTATTAAACAGCCGTCACTGCAATGCCATACTATTCCTTCAATTTTACCCTCTTTGCAACCTTCAAACCAGGACAAGAGACGATTGTGCTTCAATGAAGGTAAATTTCTTATTTGAAATGCTCCATGTGGTATAAGAAGATGTAATGGATGTTTCTTGCTCCCTAACCCATATGGGTTTCCACTGATATTTGTTCCTATGAGCTCCAGTGTTTGTTCTAAGAGATCTGATAGTGGCACTGCACTAATTTCCAAAAGTCCAGAATCATCAGGATGATGTTTTAGTACCAGGGCAATTTCAAATTCATAATTAACTACAGAGGAGTGCCAGCAATACCGTTTGTTGTTTTTTTCTACTGGTACCCAACCAGGAATGTGTCCATTTTCATCAGGCTCTGGGTTTCCATTCATTTGTTCTATTTCCTTTGCTGGTATCCAGCACTCTGCAGCTGGTTTGAAGTCCTCCTCAACGTTCCAAAAAACTTCTTTTGGGTTTCCTTTTGAATGCAGAAAATTTTAAAATCTTTTTTCAGCTTGTTTGTTGGGTTTTCTATCTAGTCGGGCCCAAAGGTATGGTTGATCTTTATAGGTAGTAACATAACAACATGTTCCATCCACTTTTTCTGTTGGAATTGCACTGTATATATCTGCATCTAATGCCTTGTGACTTATAGTTTCAGTTGCCGAAACTTTAAATGGCTGATGATCCCTTTTGGCGGAAGGCTCCTCTTTCACCTCCGTCACAAACACACACGGCATTTTCCGCTGCACGGAGCCCAAGCGCTTCATGATGAGCCCAACAAGCAGTGCGAGTGGAGGGCGCGCTTTCGAACGGTGTCCAGTTTAGGAGGGGATAAGCCCTGCAGCTGTCACACGCGGCGCTAGGCCACTCACACTCCGAGCCCAGCCACCGCCGCGGCGCCCCAACCATGCCAAGCCCCAGCTAGGGGCGGGAACGCCCATACAGAAGCCAATTTTTGTATTTTTAGTAGAGACAGGGTTTTACTGTGTTGGCCAGGCTGATCTCGAACCTCTGACCTTGTGCTCTGCCTGCCTTGGCCTCCCAAAGTGCTGGGATTACAAGTGTGAACCACCGTGCCCAGCCCAATTGTTTTTCTTTTATGAAAAAAAAAAAAGTTTCTGATACATGTTGAAGGAACAGCTATAGCAGAAAATGTTGGTTGGGCCACCCAATATTATTCACAACCTCATTCTAGGGACTTGAAAACCAGATCTTCACTTTTCCAGACTTTCTTACATCTCTGGGTGGCCATAATGCCAAATTCTGCTGGTTTTGTCCTTAATTTTGTTTTATTGTCTTGAACATGGATATGATGATTGGAGATGTAGCAGCCATTTTGTAACCATGAGGACAAAAAGTCTACATGCTATGAATATCATTGGGGCTCAGGAAACAATACTCCAAAATATGATGCTTTGTCCTTTATGCTGATCTAAAGCGGCAGCCTCAAAGTCTCTCTATGACCTTCCCTCATCTCTTCGTCTTTCTAATCCTCTGTACTGAACCACCAGGAGGGAATTTCTCCTTATCAGAACACTTTTCTCCTAATAAATGCAATTGTCTAAGACACCTTCCCTAGGAATCTCATCAAGTAGCCGAAAGAGACTGGGAGTCCTCACCACATCCAGACTTTTTATCTGTTCTTCTGAGGGCAGTTCTAAGGAATTACCTGGAAGCTTTTATGTGCATAGTAAGCCAATGTTTGTTCCTGTACAGTTCCACCCCTCACCTGGTAACCTGTCTGTCTCATCCAGCTTGCAAAGAGAATCACTTTTTTTTTTTTAATTTTTATTATTTTTTTTATAAAGACGGGGTTTCACCATGTTGGTCAGGCTGGTCTTGAACTCCCCACCTCAGGTGATCCACCTGCCTTGGCCTCCAAAGTGCTTGGATTACAGGCATGAGCCACCACGCCTGGCCGAGGATCATTTTCAAAACAATGACTGTCTCCAGGTCCATATATCTCTCCCGCAAAGATATATATATATATATTTAACAGTGTTGCTTTGTCACCCAGGCTGGAGTGTAGTGGCACAATTTCGGCTCACTGAAACCTCCGCCTCAGGTTCAAGCGATTCTCCTGCCTCAGCCTCCTGAGTAACTGGGATTACAGGCATGTACCACCATGCCTGGCTAATTTTTGTATTTTTAGTAGAGATGAGATTTCACCACATTGGGCCAAGCTGGTCTTGAACACCTGACCTCAAGTGATCTGCGTACCTCAGCCTTCCAAAGTGCTGAGATTACAGGCATGAGCCACTGTGCCCGGTGGTGAAGAGAGTGTTTAATTTTCAACCACCTGGCCTCTCTTCGAGTCTCATAGTTTGTGTGTGGCTCCTGTGTTTGTAGACACATGAATAAAGTGTGGGTCCTTTTTTTCTTTATTGATCTGCCTTTGTCAGTTTATTATGGAGCAAATGGGCTTGCTTCCTGATGTGCATAGAAGCCAATAACTATAGCACTGGCTTTTGAGAAAAGAAAGGTTTTATTGCAAAATCAGCCAGCAAGGAAACAGAAGTCAGGCTCAAATCTATCTCCTCTATTTGGGTTCTGGGGCACGTTTTAATAGGGCGAAGGAAACAATTTAAGAATGTTGGTTTGGGCTGGGTGCAGTGTCTCACGCTTGTAATCCCAGCACTTTGGGAGGCCAAGGTGGGTGGAT